CGCCAGCGGCACACCTTCCGAACTGCCAGCGTGGCACTTCTTTTCTTTTTTGGCTGGCGGCGCCAGCCCTTGTGGTCCGGTAGGCCCTAGCTGCAAAGACAATCTTGTGGCGACAAGATGTTTTGCTGCAAGGCTGGGGCCTTGTACTTGTGCTTTAAGGGAAAAAAAAGAAAATGAAGCAAGCAGTCCACAGACACAGAAGGAATATCCTTTTTGTACAAAACCAAAATACGAAACCCTCTCCCCCACCCATGAATGTCGCGGAAAACCTGTTTTCTTCTCTTTGATTTGGACCATTTCTGGATTTGTGCATGTCATCCTTGATTGTGCAGAGAGCATGCTGATCTTCTCTTTCTGAGACTTTCTCTGTCCCAATATAAACCACCAGTACCCAACCAGCTATTTTTTCTAAGTGGCCGCACATATACCGGCATGACTTTAGTGGGTAGGGGAAGCGAACGCCCAGTCGCTACCTAAAACACTCGCAGATTGAAAAGTCAAAAAAAAAAAAAAAAAAACAGAGAAACAAACAAGTTTCTTCTTTATTGAAAAAAAAAGAAAAACAAATTACAAACGGGCCTCTTTGGCAGCGCGCATGGAGGGGGCGGGAACCCCTCTCTATTTTGCTGTACTAGAGTGGGCTGTCTTTTTTTTTTTTCTTTTTTTTTTTTTTCAAAAATTCCAAGGTGTTGCAGAGGCCAGTCAGTGCGTGCACAGTGATCACCTGGAGCTGTCGAGCCGTGGGTGTCCTGGAATATGGGACCACCTCCCATCCCATCCTCACATCACCCCCACCAATAGATGGAGCCTCCCTGAGGGTGCTAGCGGTGTCTGCTCTTATGAGCACCCCTACCAGCAGCTCAGGTTGTTTCAAAAAAAAAAAAAAAAAAAAAAAAAACTCCTAGCGCACCCCCTTTCCCACTATCCTACCTCAGACTGACCAGCACTCAGGACCATTACCCTACCAGTATCGATTGGAACTTGGACCGAACAGCAGTGATAGGCACCAGGGCTGATGGGTTACCCAGCCCTGGTGGAAGCGGAATCGGACGTGCCTTGTCGAACGGGAACTTCGGACGCCAGGCCCAGACAATCTACTACAGGCCCCAAGAGACTCTGGGCCATAGGTTTCAGACAGGGTAGCACAGTTCTATCCAAATGTCAGTAGGAACCACACCCAATGACACCCTATCCAACCTACCTGAACCTACTGCAGATACTAGACCCCACCTACCCTTGTCTTGAGGGTGCTGCATTCTGCTGTAGGCCGTGAGCCTCTTGTGAAGGCTCCTTCCCCCCACCGCGACTTTGAGAGAGAGAGAGAGAGAGAGAGAGAGAGAGAGAGAGAGAGAGAGAGAGAGAGAGAGAGAGAGAGAGAGGAGGAGGTAATATCATCAAACTCACCTGCCGTGGCCCCCAGGTAATTCAGAGGTATTTCACTCATTTGATTCCACCAGGATTCAAACGCAGATCAACAGCTCATGTGTGTCCCATTCAGCCACATGCAGGGGGCAGCGCACAGATCAGATATCAAACTGATCAGAACAGATACTAAACTCCTGCCCTCCCAAATTGGTTGGGGTTTGTACACAAATGCAATAAGAACTCGATGCGTGAGGACAGTGAACACACACAGTCCACGGCATAGGATACAGAGTAGTGCAATCATCCTTCTGCCTCCTGCTCAGATGATCATCACAGCCGTCATCCAGAATATAATTAAAAAAAATAAACAATAATAATAATAAAAATAAAATCATCCAGAATATATAGAAGACAAACTGCCAGAATATATAGATATAGAAAAAAGAAAAAAAACTGGCGGTGGAATCCTAGAATCAGCATCCAAACTTCTCTGTCACTTCTCATTCACCTCGTCCTCAGTCTCACTGGCCCGTTTCACTAACTATAATTTCATAATTGGGGAGGCCACTAACATATGATTTCATAATTGGGCAGGGGATCGCTTGAGATCATTACTCCCCAGTGCCCCCACCATTAGATGGAGCGGCCCACCAGGAAAAGCCTCAATCCCGGTGGTTCTCTTATCACCACTGGGATAGAGGCCTTGCAAAGGGCCCAAAAAAGAAAAAAAGAAAAAAAAAAAGAGATCATTACTCTACCTCCCTGGCTCGAGAGTAGGTCCAGTCAATGGCAGAGATAAGGGGAATTGATGGTGGCCTAGTACAGAGGTAAGGGGAACAGATGGTGGCCTAGTACGCACCGACGGCTGAGACCAGTGCTGCTCTGGTTGATGACTTGGGGGAACCTGTAGTAGGGGCTGTCACCGCAGGTCTGGTCCTTGGCCTCTACAACACCCTGGGCTTTAAAAAAAA